GCTGCCGGCTAATGGAAATCTGAACATCTAGACTAATCCACACTGCTAATGCTCATTGACATAATTTATGCAGTTTATTAAAATCCTTGATACTGTGAATATAGACATGTCTTTATCAACATTTTTGGCAAATAATAAAATCAAGTTATTGTTCAAGACAAATTAAGTTTGTTTTGTCAGCAGCTTTGTTATGCAACATTAATAGAACTATGATTTTGAAATTAGCAACCATAATGGAAAGTATACAAACGTCCAAGGCATAAATGGTAAAAAGTGCACTCGCAACAACGACATCTAGCGACATGCGGCAACTCAGCATGTCTGCATGGCCGTCGCAACAACGACATCTAGCGACATGCGGTGACTTAGCATGTCTGCATGGCCGTTGAAGGGTGGAACCGTTGATCCATCCATCCGTTGATCCAATCTCAATCTCGTCTGAGTTACCATTTTCGCGCATGCGAAAATGGTAAAAAAGAACACATAGACTTACCACAATGTCAAATAGAGAGTCTTTCACTGTGTACTTCTTGACTTGTCTCTCCAGCTCAGGAAATCCCCCTTTTTCCTAGAGGAGTAGAAAATTGTTGTACATTTTATGCCTGGACAGATTTAACAGGTACTGAACCTTGTATTAATATACACATTTGATGAAGATGTGTAATACTAATAGCCTAGAGTGCTCGCTTTGCATGTGGGAAGTTGCAAGTTTGAATCCAAGCCAGAATCTACCTGGTAGAACTAATGGTACATAGTGCTTCTCTGCATAGCACTTATGAGTAAGTGCTGCATACCGGTTCACTGGACTTGGATCCGGACTTGTAAGAGTGTTTAGGTTCATGTCCAAAAAAAACCTAAAACTTTAATAAAAGTCAAGAACCGAGTCCGGACTTATTACCATAAAAGACCATTTCACATACCCCTTTTCTTTCGAAACCACCTAAAACCTTCCGTAGATTGCAAAATCTTTGCTGCAAAACGAAGAAAACATTGCCATCGGCATCGTCAAGTACCGGCCTCCATGTTATGTGGCCAAAGTTTCACCCAGACAACATTGCAAGGTTGCCAACATGCAATTTTGTATATGCCATGGGTTTAGGTCCGGACTTACAAGTCCGGAACTGTCTGAACCTAAACCTCTGGACTTGAATCCGGACCTGAACCTAAAATTGGGTTTAGGTATGCAGCACTTATGAGAAAGACTTGTATAATGACAAGGAATAATAACATTCTTGGCAAAGGCTTAAGGTACATGTAATAAGTTCAGAAAAACCAAATTTATGAGAGAAGACTACTGTATGCCTTATACGTTATAGTATATATATATTTTCTTTTTTTTTTATTTACTTCAGAATTCACCTCAAAACAAGGCTCGTGAGAGCCACTTACATGTTTTGGGTTACTGAGTGAGTGATGACTGCGTGGTCAGATATTTGTTCACCCTTGATTTAAACCGTTGGAGGTTGTAATTAGCGATGAAACATTCACGGGGAAGCTTGTTCCACAGTGAAGTGGTTCTGGGGAAGAAACTGTCAGCATGAAATTTTCTCTTGACTGATGGACAAGTGAAGAAGAAAGGGTGATTTTCTGCTGTTGAGGTGGCTAAGCGTGTTCTTGCAGAGAATGTTCTGAGTGGGGGTACGAGGGAGTGAAGTTCATCAGAGCATCTGCCGTGAACATATCGATATAGTAACGCCAGGCTAGCAACATCGCGCCGGTGTGAAAGCGGTTGTAACGTGGCGTGCAGGTCTCTACCAACGAGATTTCGCAAACGATTTTGGACCCTATCTAAACAGCTCAACGAGCTCTGTGCAGCTCCAGCCCATGTAGTTACCCCGGTACTTGTTAATCAGGGTTCTAGCTAGCACAAAGTAGTGTAGGGGCCCCCTACGCTAAAATTTTGCCCCCCTACACTAAATTTCTCCCCCTACGCTATAATTTTGAC